GAATGATGTTGCGTCTGCTCCGTTTGGTATTCCACAAGAAGGTAATTGTTCCCATTTGTATATTACGTGAATAAATAACTGATTTAATACCTGAATTAGTAAGTTTGTATTAAAAAATTATAATCCGCAATTGCAGGTGACACAGATGTTATTCCTTTTTGGGAAGGAATTCCGCATTATTCTTACATTGATTGGAGTTATCAGAGCGAACAAGAATCATGTACTGATGGTTCGGTGTCTGGATCGGCTTCAATGCAAGGTCCGTGGCAACTGGGTGACATGTTATTTGTCAATCAAGAATTTGCGACAAAAAAAGATGTCCAAATGGCACTTAAGCACAACCTTATTAGGGAGCATCAAGAAGCCATTGTAATTGAGAGCACGCCTGCAAAGTTGTCCATGAAATGTTGTGCGTACGATGAAGGTTGTCTGTGGCCCGTAAGGGCGATCAAACCGGTGTTTCGTGAAAATTGGAAAATAACGAGATGGGGTGGAAAAAATGAATGTGTGAATGAGCACATTTCCCAGGGTCATAGACAGCTCGATGCGGACGTTATTGCAGATCTCGTGATAAGTACCTTTTTTGTATTTTAGATGTGTGAATGAACACGAATGTGTAATTAAATTCGTTCGATGTTATCGAGGCACTGATATCCTCTTCAATGCAGGGATGATAAAGTCTGAATCATCTGTGTCAATCTCTATGGTGCAAGAAAGGATAACTGCTAAATATGGCTTTCAAGTTTCCTACAGAAAGGCGTGGTATGCGAAGCAGAAAGCGATGGCAATTCTGTACGGTGATTGGGAGGAATCGTATGCTTTTTTACCAAGGTGGTGCGAATACATGCTTCGCTTTTCTCCAGGTTCATTTTATCATATACAAACTAATGATCTTTATGCCGAGCAGAGCTTAGTTTCTGGAAAAAAAGGTTTTTCATTGCATTTTTTGGACGTTTAGACAGTGTTGTGAGGCGTTCAAATTTGCCAAACCCGTCATCCAAATTGATGGAACACATTTATATGGAAAGTACAAAGGGAAATTGTTGGTGGCCACAGCCCAAGATGGTAATAATGAATGTTTACCGATCGCATTTGCCATCGTAGAAGTAGATATCCGGTTGACATGCACCAACTATCGCATGCACCTATCCGGTTGACATGCCTCAACTGTGTGGAAGTAGATAATAGGTGTGGGAGCAAGCCACAGATACTGCTGCTCTGGAGTCACGTCAAGCCACTCATATTCTATATATGGCTGCCACACCACCTACAAACAAAATGTGAAACAATATATAGAGTTACAAAAAAAAATAAACCCATAGACAAATAACAACACCGTAAGTATCTAACACCAAACCGCATCTCTACAGAGTGTGTCCAATGTTGCCCGATAATGGGTGACCTCATGAGGTTTAAACTTTTGTACAGCATTAAACCTGTCAATCAGAAACATTATCAACCATACATAATCGTCCAAAGTCAAGAAGTATACAGTTAGTATATACATTATTAACCATACATTATCGAAATCAAATGAAGTAAATAAATCATACCGACATCCATAATGTGTGCCCGGCTCTGGATGAGGAGGAAGGGGTGGAGCAATGGGTGGGAATCGTATCCATGCCCAAATTTGAAGGAGAATATGGCAACCACCCCATGTCGCTTCGACGGGCATATGTCACTTCACACAAATTCCTGAACAAGTGTGTCAAAACTGCAGATCCCCAGCTGAATCGGCCAATGTCCTCAAATCCTCCACCTAGCAACGGGACAAGCCGACAACCAAAATTGCTACCTCCAGACTTGTCCGCCAGCAACCAAGTCCCCAACATCCGGGCAATGTGGGCTTTTGTGAAGTAGATCTCGGCAGCATGATTCCCCTCATGATCAGTCCACCGAGTATAATGCTGATCCAAGAATGAGATGCGGAGGTCGCCGGAATGATGGAACTCACCGGCCTCTAGAACATGTCCAAAAACAGCAGCACAAACAGCGTGCCAATCCTCAGAGGTCGATCCGATGACGACAGTACCGTTGGTCGGCAAGCCCAAGATGCCTGCCACATCTTGTAAGGTGATCGTCATCTCACCTTGGGTCATGTGAAAGGTATGTGTCTCTGGTCTCCACCTCTCGACCAGAGCACTAATTAAAAATGTATCTATTTGTGATAAATTACGCAGTTATCACGTGTTAACGAGTTTTATTAAATAATTACATAAATACAAAACGACATAAATAACATACCTGGATATGTTGCATCCTGGCAACATGTATGAAACCCGCCTATCTGAGGTACTCTTCCACAACCTGTGGAATAGCACCGGTAGGTGGGCCCCCTTGTGGCTTCCCACGCCTAGTCTTAATCTTTCTTACATGCTCAGTATTCCACACTCGCTGTGAAATATGACCTTTCTGCGTCCTCTGACGGAGGACCTCCCACCTGTAGGGTCCAGGTATGATCCACATGCTGGGATCGGTGGGCTCTACATCCGAATCAGATCCCGAAGAAGATGATGACTCAGCCATTATCCTCAACTAACTACAAAGTTATGCACTCCCGCATTAATAACATCATAATACGAAATTTACAAAGTCTCTAACACTATTTATAAATCACTAATTAATATGCTAAACCCTAATACATAATTAAAAATCGGTAATAATAATAACTACGTAATAATAATATTACTATATCATTACAACATTCATAGCATGGCACAAAATTTCTAAGTAACTATCCTAATGTTCCAAGTCTCTAATATACAATCAATCCTAACATGTATTACTAACTAGCACTGTAATTTAAATGTATACATATGAGGTATTATGACCTTACCTACGTTGGCAGAGCTTCGCTACGAACCGCGGTTAGAGAGAGGTTGGAGAGAGGTTAGAGAGGTAAATGAGTAAGGAGTGAAAAAAGGAAAGTGGGGTATATATAGGTTGCACATGAGACGCCCTCTTTGGGCGTCACATGTGACGCCCAAAGAGGGCGTCTCATTGTGCAACAGATATATAATTTTTAACAAAACAGCATTAAATGCGTAATTATTTTAATTAATTACATTATTTTAATTTTTTTTGCCGTGGAACACTATCGTTCTCCCTTCGTCGCTTTCGTCTGCGTATTTGAAGATTATTACACTCTTTACATAGTTAAAAAATATTATCCAATTTTGTATTTCATCTTGTCATTTGTAAAATTATTGTTAAAATATTGAAAAGTTAATTGTGCATTTCAAAATTTGAAGTTGATAAATATTTACACGGGTTCTTAGTTTTAAAACTGAAAAGGAAATGCAAATGCAAGAAGTCATGATAACAAAAACATATTTCAAGGATATTTTGTTGTTTTATTTAAGGCTTTAATCTTTCTAAAGTGAATGTAGATAAATTATCTACATTTGCTCCAAAAACGACGTCGTTTTGGATTTAAAAACTAAAAAACTATTTACAAAAAAAAAAAAAAAAAAAAAAACTAAAAAACTATAATAAAAAAGACTATTATAACCTTTAAATAAATTATAATTATAAAAATACTTTGATTTTAGTCTCAAAACGACGTTATTTTGAGCTCAATGTAGATATAGATAAATTATCTACATTGACTGTAAAAAAAATGAACCCTTTATTTAAAGTAGTTAGACGCTATTTACCACACAAAAAAAGTAGTTAAACGCCTATGGTAATATATAAAAGGGATATAGGATGTTTTACCTATTTTTTTTATGCCTACCTTACCTATTTATCTCCAATATCATTATATCAGAATTTTAACTAATTTTCACTATTTATTTCTTCTCTTAAGATTCTGATAAAAAGTGTTGGAGATAAGTAAGTAATGTAGACATAAAAACAAAAAATAGACATATATCTTATCCCAATATAAAAATAAAGGAACAGACAAGTTATAGTAGCATTAACTTAATACTAAAAAAACCACTAGGATTAGTCTAATAGTGAGGGGTTTAGATAGTTTGTATTAGGTTACGTGTTCAATTTTAACTATTATACCAAAAAAAAATTAAAAACTTAATACTAAAAGAGGTGGAAATGTCATCCAATGGATATAGCTTTGGTAACACAAGTTGAGTAAGTGAGAAAATAACATGGCTTGATTTTCACCACACACTCGATTCTCACCAAATACATTTTTTAAATAGTTGAAGCTGGTGGGGATAAATAAATAAAAAAGAGGAGATTATTGTATTAATTGAATAAGTTGCATCTTTTAAAAAAAAATCAAAACTTACATATTATTTGTAACTAAGATAACCAAAAACCACTTATAGGTAAGAGGGAAAACATTTTCTTATGTTGCATGAGAATTCAATTCTCATGTTGTGATCCTTCGATTTGCGTGCAAAACTTTTTTTTCTTTTTCTTTTTTTAATATATGTGAAGTTCACTACTAGTTGAGTCACAACATGAAAATTGAATTCTCGTGCAACATGAGAAAATCAAATCCCTGGTAATTACAGTATAACTAAGGTTCATTTTCCAATGACAAATAATTTCTAACCTCACGTTAAATCCAAAACTAAAGATGATGATTTGCTCTTATTTTATTTTTATTTTTTTGGTAAATGATTTGCTCTTATTTTAAAATGGACATAGTCTCCCCTCACCCTAAATATTATTTTACCAAAAAAAACTACGCTCACAAAGAACAATGCCTGAGTTCATTTTCCAATGATAAATAATTTCTAACCTCACATTAAATCCAAACTAAAGATAATGATTTGCTCTTATTTTAAAATGGAGATAGTCTCCCCTCACCAGAAATATATTTTTACCAAAAAAAAAATAACGCTCACAAAGAACAATGTCAAATTCAGAGTAACAATAGCACTTCAAACTATGTAACTAGGAATGCCTTCTTGTAGTAAATGTAAGAGTCTTCTTGTACTACTACTTTTGTATCTCAAAGAGTCAAGACCACTCAAGTTAATTAGGATACAGACAAAGTCTGAATCAAGAGTACAACCCTCTAGGAGATCTCGAGTCATAAAAAGCTGTATCCTAACCATGAATACAAAAATCTCATAAATCTAAGTAAAGATATCTGAGGGAAAGCCATGAAGTAGACCATAAGATAAAGCCATAAGCAATATCGCAGCCTCCTTCTCATCCTTAGGGAAAACTTGTTGGAGAGCCAAGTTATTACTCAAGCTTATTGTCAAATCCTCAAAACCGAACTTCTTTCTACCTCGAGATGAATTGGCATTGGCTTCAAGTTTACGCTTCTTTTTCAACTTTGGTGCACTCTCGGTTTTGGACTTCCTCTCTTTGTTGTGCAACTTATTTCCCTTCACATGAGGTTTCTCAGCCCCCACTAAAATTGTACCATTTGCAGCGGCAATGGCACGTCTTGCCTTCCTTTGCCGTATCCCACAGGCATTGCAAAGTGACTATTACACCAAAAATTAATGGTTAATCTTTCAACATAGTTTAGTTAATTTAAATGAAATATTTCAATTGTTCAATTTCTACTTGCATTGTTTAGTGTCAATTTTTATCAAGTTTAATGTTGTTAATGTAAAGTTTGATTAGTTATAGGGACAATAAATGAAAATCCTAGAGCTAATTATTTATCATGAAAAAAATAAAATTTGTTAGGGGATGGATGAATCAATAGAGAGGTTAAACAAACAAAAAAAAAAAAAAAGGAAAAAAGATGTACCTTGGGACCTCTTGGTCCACTTCTCCAAAGAGGGGTCTTAGTGGTGTGACAATCAGAGCAAACCCTAACAGTGATACTACTGCTTTGGTTTGAAGAATTGTTGCCGCTATTATCAGTTCCTAGAAGTGATAATGGTAGCTTTTTCTCTTCATAATTTTTCTTAGAGATACCTGTTATATCAGAACAAGTTTGATCCAAGACCATCATCCTTTGCATCATTCTCACCTTTGAAGGCATCCACTTCACTGAACTATCCTCAGCTTGAAGATTTTCATGACTCCCATCTTCTTTCTTCCAAACTGTACTCAGCTTGAGGTCGCTGCTGTTTTCATTAAGATCCCATGATCCTCTTGAAGGAACAATCTTCTCGGCCTAAAGATAACATGATCAATTTGATTATAACAAAATATATATATATTTATATATATATATATATATATATATATATATATATATATATACACATCTTAATTAAAAAATAATGAAGATTATGATTTGCTACTTATTATACTATATCTATATGTGTGTGTGTGTGTAATATGCGTCACCTCTTCATCAGTTTGTAAGTGCTTTGGTTCCACGTGGTAAGATCCTCCTTGATCTTGATCCAGGTTGAAGAGTATAGAATATGACAAAGAAGAAGATGAAGAAGAGGGTTGATGGTTTATACTGAAGAGTTGGTGGGTGTGATCTTCATTAAGATCTAAAGGCATAGGAGAAGATACTGAATAACGATAAGTTGGTATCATGGAGTCATACACATAAACACACACACACACACACAAACAAAGCCAAGAGAGACAGAGAAGCAGAGAATGAAAGGTAATAAAAGGGTTGGGGGCGAGAAGAGAAGAAATAGAAGGCAAAAAGGTTCTGAGCATCTTACTCATACAAGACATAGTAAGACTCATTTAAAGGCGATAGAGATTACACATTTACAACTTTTACAGCCTTAAAAACACATAGCAAAAGCTATCACTATAAGACATTCACGTGACTTCAAGACATCTAAAGCCGACAAATCGAAAAGACAAACGGTTTCAGGAGTGTGTGGAATGCTACTGCGCTGACCCCATACTTATGACAAAAACCATATTTGCAGACTTTTTTTTTTTTTTTTTTTTATTACTGCACAGTGCCACAGCACTGGATTCTGCATATCTACTACTGATTAACCCTAGCTAGTTGAAACTAGAATCGATGGAAGAGATAGAATTTGATGATAGCCACACATGACAAAGATAATGTAGTCACACATCTCAAACCAATAATTTTGTCACAGGAATAATCTTGTGAATCAAATTCTTTTCCGCCAAACATATATTTGTATTTGGGCCCGTATATGGGCCAATTATATACGGGTTTAAAATTTTTAAAGTTATTTTAGATAATTTATTATAATATTCAATAAACTACAGGTCCATGTGGATTTATGTGATGAGAAAAAAATAGATCTCACACACTTTCATGAGTGTATTTTGATGAACATTAAATAAAATTATCTAAAGTAATTTTAAAAACTTTAAACTATCAGGTCCAATTGAAACTTGATTAATGTCTGGTTGTTGTTATTATTATTATTATTAATTTTCTGTTACTATGATAAACTTTATTATTTCACAACACATTTTTTTAGTGTAATATTTTATATCATTTAACCTTGGGTAAAGTGTGTGTCATTTTAAAGGATGTAAAGTTGTGTCATTTTAAGAGGGAGAAAGAGATAGATAAAGGAGGAAAGAGAGTTGACAAAAAAAAATAAAGGTGTAGGTCCCATTTTTTTGTGAGAGTAAAAGAATATAAGTTGTGTCATTTAAAAGCATAAATATTTTTCGCTTTAACTCTTAATATAATTGTCTCAAGAAATATTTGGCGTTAAGTGTTTGAACAGTTGTAGGAGTGGATTCCACTCTCGGGCTTCAAGCCGAGCTAATATAAAGTTCGATTTGAATCGAGCTCAGTTCAAATATTTAGTTTTTATAATTGTAAAATGTAATTACTTTATAAAATTAGAATTTTTTAAATTAAATTTTGTTATAATTTAATAAATAGTATGTATAATTTATTGAGACCAAGCCAATTAATTCAGCTTAATTAGTGTTTGATTTGGATGTGAAGTTAAACTTTAGGTTGATTTTCATAATTCAGTATTACCGCATTCAGTTATATCATTATTTGATAATAATAACATTAACAATTCAAATTATTGATAATCTTCTATGTCATTAAAGTATTTTTGGCGATTTTTAAATTAATGGGATGGTAAATTTCATAAAATGTATACAATATATATATATGGCCATGCTTCAGCCAAGGCACATGACTACACACAAAATCCATTCACCATGGGTAAGTTAAAAAATTTACACTCAGTTCTCACCATCAATTTTTATCAGATCTAGTGGCTTACACTAACACAAACCAATATTCATTAATCCAAAATAAACTATAAATCATGTGATCAGAATAGAAGAATCAGGAAATGATCATTATACTGCAATTGACGAGCCGGGAAAGAGGGTAAGTACTGGGATTCAATATATGCTGCAAAGGAAGCACACTAATCCTCGTGCCAACAAAGACAGGGCTATGGCGTAATAGTTCTCATCTCCAAAATGTTCCATTCTCCTAGGCGATCCCAGTTCTATGGCGTGTGTCCCAAAATTCATGCCAATTGATGTATTTGACTGCAATTTAGAGCCAATATGATGGCATTTGTAGTATCATATCCCCTCTCTGTCTTTGAAAGCTCATATTGATTGGTGGATTAAATATATTATAATTAGGGAAGGTAATTTTTTACGCAACCCGCTAACATAACATGAACATGATACTGAACATTCGTATTTAGGTTGATTCATTTTTAAATTTGTGTTGTCTTTATGTTGGCAAAAATTGACACGAAAAAATTCATGTCGTGTCGCATGTCAATCCGCAAACACAAAATTGACTCGCATTAATCTTTTTATGCTATTTGTTTCATATCGTGTCATGTCAACCAACATAATAAGATATACTCTTAAATATTGGTAGGTTATTTGTGTCATGTCATGTTATGTCAACGTGTACAGACTTTGAGATTAATGGGTTATTCTTGTTGTGTCAAGCTACAAAATAAGGAGGTCGTATTCATGACAAAGGTTTTAACCCGTTTTCAAATTCATATCGTGTTCGTGTTGAGTATATTCATGTTCATGTGAAATTCATGTTGTGTCATGCATATCAACTTATAATCGAAAGTATGGTTTAGATTATTCTACGTAGCAATTAGGTAAGTGTTGGGTCCATGACCCATGATGGATCTAGCCCTAATATCTTATATAGAAAATATGCTTAGATGCTTAGCCGCAACTGCTCAGAGTGAGAAAATAGAGGCAAACACAAAGAAAAAGAAACACGCAAGAGAAAACGAAAGCCAGAAACAAAGATCCTTTCAAGAAGAAATCTACTGTCATTGCTGAAGAAGAAAAATATACTGTAAAATAGGATTCCTATCCCTTTTTCTGAGGAAAACACTTGCTTAAGACACTTGTCTAATCCATCCTTTTAGAGGGTAAAGTCCTCTAGTTATTGTGTCAGAGGGAATATTTGTGTAATCTCATTATTCATAGTGAAAGTTTTATGGACTTGGTCATGTGGTTTTTATTTTCACATTGAAGAGATTATCCACATTAAAAGTTTTGGTGTTCTCTGTTACTCCCTTTATCTGTTTGTTTTTTATTTACTGTTTGTCCATTAACGCTTTCGCAGGCAGGCTATTGGATATTCGTTTAATATAAAAAAATAAAAGGAGAGAATTTCGTGTTAAGTCTACTTACACCAGTTGTAAGTGAATTATTATTATTATCATTATTATTATTATTATTATTATTAAGTCTAAGATATCAATTAAGCTGAACGGATGGTTACTAGTTGTCTTTATGTGGTATATAAAATGAAATTTTTTCACAAAAGTTAATTGTGACTATATAAAATATTGAAAAATAGATATGTCATGTTGTAAAAAATTGGTTGTGTCATGCTATAGACACAATCAATGTGGACCCCACCACTTTTAAAATAAAAAAGAAAAGAAAGTGGTGGGATCCACATTGGTTGTGTCGATAACATGACACAACCAATTTCTTACAACATGATACATCTATTTCCCTAAAATATTTTGAGTTTGACCTTCCTTAATAACTTATGTAGTCTAAATTATAGATTTAGTCTTATCTATATTTAAAAATTAAAAGACCTTATCAAAGCCTATTTGTCTTTTTAAACTTAGGACTATGAGACCGTATCAAAAAATAATATAAAAAATTAGAATAATAGTATTTTATGAGACAAGTTATTCTTACATCAATACAAGATACAAAGTATTACATTCATCTATTGGCATTGATTCACATGTATTGCCATTGATTCACATAACTAAAAAATTAGAAACATTAAATTCAAGTGGTATCAATGATCAAGATTAAGATATAACTTACGTTCTTAACCCTTATTTTATTATTTAAATTGTCTAAATAATAATTTTTTATTATATTTAAAATAAATAATATGATATTATATTGACCAACCTGTAATCTTATAGGACATGCTTTATAAAAATTTACTTGTGACCAATTTTATAAATAAACTTTTTGAGGCTTAAATATATTTTATTTTACTGAATATATTAGATATCATATGGCCTAAGTTGTAAGCTTCGAATGGATAGCATGGCCTATTTATATAAAAACATTAAGTGCGATAGTTAATGTGTGACATTCCATACGTTATGAGTAAATTAAGTTACGGTGAAAGGATAAGTTAAGCGCCGTTTGGTACAAGGTATTTTTTAGAATTTTCGAAAAACTGAAAGTGGTAATCATATTCACCCACGTTCGGGACAAGATTTTTAAAATTTTTTTGGGAATATGATTTTCTCGAGATTTTATTTTATGTGTAACTTTTTTTGAAAATACTATAAAGAAAATACTATCCAGGGGATGCACTACAAGAAAATATGTATTTTGCGACGGACATTCTGCGACGGTTAGATGCCAACCGTCGCAGAATAAGTTACAACGACGGTTACTTCGACGCTCCAATGAAACCTAGTTGAATATCACAATTCCACGACGGCAATTAGCGACGGTTCGGAACAGCCGCAGAATATTTAATTTTACGACGGTTACAAGCGACGCAGAATACAAAATCAGGGACGGTTATAAACAGCCGCAGGATATCTCACTTAACGACGGTTACAACCGCCTCAGAAT